CTCTCTCTCTCTCTCTCTCTCTCTCTCTCTCTCTCTCTCTCTCTCTCTCAGTTTTTGGTAGATTCTTGGTTACTTTCATGCGAACTTATTTATCAACTCCCCACCCCTAGGCAATAAATTCCAACCCTCCTTAATTGCAGTCTCTTCCAAAAAAAAACCCACAACTCTTCTCAATTCCAGGAACGTGAAAGGACCTGGCCACGCAACCGTAGCGTGGGAATCTTGTGGAGTGGTCTCTTCCTAACGATCCTCGGTAGAATAAAAATTGGTAATGCAACGACCCCGGAGTTCGCCAGTGCGGACAATCCCACAGCTCGACATCCCTCCCGCGTAACCCGGACCCTGACGTTCCTGTACCTCCCAGCAGCGAGCCTCCGGATGTTCTTATGTCCGACTACCTTGAGTTTCGATTGGTCGATGGATACAATTCCGAGGATAATATCATTGACCGATCCAAGGAATCTGGAGTCCGTCTGTCTGTACGTCGTGCTGGTGACAGCGGGTTTGTGGGTAGTCCAGCAGTCAAGGATTGAGATTTACGTGAGGAATCGAACAATGGAGAAGACAGGATCGCTTGTCAGGGCGTCTTCCAAGTGCTCAGTCTGCGATAATCGGAAAATTGGGGGCTGTCATACTGAAGGCTGCAGAGTTGCCAACAACAACAATAACAGCGATAGCATCGACTGCTGCTGCTCGCTGAAGCCGAGTCCTGCATATGCCGAGTTTGGTGCTAGATTCGGGAGGACCAAATCAGTGACCATTGTCATCATATCGCTGGGATTTCTGGCGCTGCCGTTCATCCCTGCCAGCAACCTCTTCTTCTACGTGGGCTTTGTCATTGCTGAAAGGATTCTGTACCTGCCAAGTGTTGGGGCTTGTCTCTCTATTGGGGCCTGTATTGCTGAGACCTACAGGATTGTCAAGCATGGCTCTAAAACTTGTGGGAAGCTTATTCTGGGGGTCACAATGGTTCTGCTGTTCTGCATGGCTGCGAAGACTCTCAGGAGGAACATCGATTGGCATAACGAGGAGAGTCTCTATCGATCTGCCCTCCATGTCAATCCACCCAAAGGTGAGTCAATTATTTTTAGGTTTTCTAAGGAGAGACCGCACTGAAATTTCAAAATCGTAGGGGCCTCTATTTCGATTAGAGTGGAATAAAGTGGACACCTTTGACTTTTTAAAAATCAAATATCCATAACTCAGAAACAGATTTATCAATTGAGTTTAGTCTAGGCTCCTCACAAGGGGGAAGAATTGTATTTTTTATTGAAAAAAATAAGTCCATTTCATCAACAACTTAATAAGTCGTCAACATTTCAAAAAAAAATCAATAGTGTCCATTTATTTCCCTTTCTCCCTATCATGCTAATGAGTTTTAATGTACAAATATGAAAAATTGAGTGTTGGTTTTGTTGAGACAAAATTCGAAAAACATAAAAAATATAAATTTTTGATAAGATTATTTAGTCATGTTTCTGTGCATATTGTCCTATCGTAGAAAGGAGAAAGGAAATCGATCGCGAAATATCTTGAAAATCTCGAATCACTGTCACCGTAAGACTGAAACCGAAGCGCCACTACGTGAGGAGATGAGAAGGCGCGTGCGTAGCACGCGCGGACCATCTCGTGTATGTAGAAACCAAAATGTTTGAGTCAATCAGTAAGGAATTGCATCTTGAGGGATCTTTCAAAGATTTTCTTCATCTAAGGTCTGTTTCTGACCAATAAAAGGATAAAATTTTTATTTATTTGGATCGAGTATATGATTGTCTGATACGAATTCAGGACTTATTTGTAATTGGTGAATTTTTATTTCATGTAATTGAAACGTTTTTAATGCAAAGACAACATTCAATTTGTGGTAAGAATGTTTTCGCTCTGAAAATTATTTTTATCCGTCGGTTGAGTTGGCCCTGTCAATTGGGATTTGACATTTAATTTTGAAGTGAAATTTTATATCCGGGGCTGTCTCATTTTAATATCTTCGGAAATTCCTATTCTTAGTATAGCATGATGATGCACTTGTTGCCATGTTGTTTATTATTCCGCCTCCCATTTCATTAATTGATGTGAAATGTAAATTCTGTTATACTCCTCACAATTTGTGAAATGTTCGTTAGTGAGAGCTCGGTGAAGTTCAATCGAAATAATTGAATACAAGCTTTCTCTGTTATTACAGGAAATAATGAGGTAATTGTTGATGGGGAACAGTTCCATTCGGTAACCCGAAATCCATGGTCCTGAACATTGGAGTTGTGTTTGTAATTTGGTTCACTAGTTATCGAGAATTTTTTTTTGAATATCCGCGGAAAGTAATGAAAAAATAGCCTGTTTTAATCAGATATCTTAAATTAAATTCAATAATCAAGTTCCAGTAAAATTTTATATTTTGGTATAATAAAAATACCCATAAATGGGATTTTTTCATAACTAATTTGATCTTTGGAGCAATATTGATCCCCTTAAAAAATCCTCCGTTTAGGCTGAAATAATAATAAGCACTTTACCGTGTGGTTTATTATTCTGCTTCACATTCTATTGATGAAAGTTAATCAATATGTAATATAAATTCTCTTATACTCCTCTCGGTTCTCGAAATATTAATGAGAGAAAACTCGCTGAGGTTCAATCGAAATAATTGAATAGAAGCTTCCCTTGTTATAACAGTAAATAATGATGCAATTGTTGATGGGAAATAGTTCTATTCGATAATCAGACATTCGAGCTCTCGAGCATTGGAGTTGTGTTTGTAATTTGATTCACCAGTTATCGAGAATTTTTCATTGTGAATATCCGGGGAAACTAGTAGAGCAAAATAGGTTGTTTTAATCAGAAATTCTCAATGAGATATTTTCAGGGCTCTTCAAATACTCCCCCCCCCCCCAACCGCAGTTCCACTCTAGTTTCCGGGTATTCTGAAAAGAAATGAATAAATTGAATAGACACATTCATCCTCTCATTCAGCTTTCGCTACCAAATTGGCATTTATTTTCGTGTCAGTCGGAAAGTAGATGCCGGACTCGGTAGTTTGTCAAATGTTTTGGTTAATAATTCAGGGATGCGCGGGGGTATACAGTCACTTTGATTAATAATTGAACTCGAATACCAATGGAACTGGGCAATGCAAGTATGAATGGTTTTAATGAAGCTGAAAATTTCAGTTCTGTTGAATTATTGGGGAGAGAGGGGAAACTTGTGATTGTGTATTAAGTAATCATGAATTTCATGCATTTGTGGGTGAGTGATTATTTTTATGTAATTGGGAATGGAATTGGAATGGAATGGAATTTTAATGCAGCAGTTTCTGATTTATTTAGTATTGTATAAACTTCAATGTCTGAAAGGATTAATTCTTCGGAGTCAGAATTAATGTTTTCAATAGAAGTCATTTTTGGGGGGAACCTTACTCCATTTTTCTATTATTTATTGATAATTATATTTTGAATTAATCAAATTGATACAGTTTATTGTGAATGAAGATTGTGGAATTTCAGTGTATATAATTTTTGACAGACCCCGAAATTTTCTAGTGCCAGGACTCGATTTTTTCTTATGTGTTATGAAAAAATTGAATAATTTCTACTCCAACCGGGTCGTAGTGCTGTAAAATAATTATGAAAAAATCATAATTTTTGAGTTAATTCTATCGACCGCAGTAATTATTCATAGATAAATTTTCAATTGGCTTTTCGGTCTCTTTATTAATTAAATTAAATAGGTTACACCAAAGTTTCAACCCTCATTGGAGTCCTCTTCAGGGTGAATACAATTGTAAACAATCTGTGAAAAATAACAGAAAGAAAATAAAATTATAGAAAGCAGTCAACTACATAAATTATGTATAAATAGTCAAATTGAGAGAATGATTGCAAACATCGCAAATAAAATTCATTAGCCCATGATGAGCTTTGTTAATAACAGCCAGATTGTAATATAAATTATTGTAAGTGGAAAGTTGAGGTTAGAAAGCCACTGGCTCCAATTCCGTGTCAAAAGTGACTGAGTTTTGGTTATTAAAATGATCTGAATAACCAAAAACGACGCAGTCAGCCAAATTAAGGAAACTAACAGCGTGTTATGTTAAACAAATTTAATAAAAACCAGTTGATTTTACAATAAAAACAGTCACGCTGCAACAACATGTTATGTTATTATGACGCTCAACTCAACACAACTTGCAATTCACAAATACATGAAAACTGACGTGAGCAAGAAACCTAGGGTGGTGAAAGTTCCCTATGACCAAAAGTTACTAGATTCCAACAATAAAAGTCATAATTAAAAATTGAGACGACAGCATTGAAATGATGTTGCTCAATGTGCTATGAGATCGCAAAAAACTTTTTCCTATTTAATTAGCAAACTATAGACCGAGGCTAATCGATCTACATCAGACCGGAAATTAACAGAATTGGATTTTCTCGTGATGTGAATAATCTCTAATACATTACGTTTATATTGTTGTTTCTCCATTCCCAAGATCTTTACTCTATTGTAGTCGAATCGATGGTCTTGATAATGCCTAAAGGAGGTTAGGCGGTGTATGAGGTGAATTTGAGAGTGAATTTCTGTGGTTCCCGGTAGCTTAGTCAGTAGGAGTGCCCGGCGCGTTCTGGGAGATCCAGTTTCGATTCCCGGCTGGGCGAAGCGGAAATTTTTTCTCCCTAAATTCTAATTCTCTTAGAATTTTTTTTTTTGAGATCACTTGCATGTTTAGTTAAAGCTGTGAATTTCGAAAGAGACAGGTTCACGTTGTTTTTGTGTTCCTTAATCCTTACATGTAGTGGTCTCCTCGTTTGTCCGATGCACAATACTTCACAGCCATCACAAGGAATCCCGTATACGAGATTTGTCTTCATCTCTAGAGCGAGTGGATCCTTACTTGTTTTAACATATTTCCCAGTTTGTTAGGATTACTGCAGACACTCTTCTCAGTTGCTGAGTTAGACCATCGATGAAAGGTAGAACCAATTTAGGTGCTTCCGGTACGGCTGCTCTCACAGGTCAATTGTTGCGTTCTCTCTCTTTCAAAACTCTGAGTCTAGACTTTATGTGATGCTCAATAAACTCCTCAGGATAATCATGATCCAGGACTGTATGTTTGATGGACAGTAATTTCTTTTGTCTGAAAGTTGGATGACTAAATATAACAGCCCTGTCAACCAACATATATACTACTCCTCTTTTCTGAGACGATGGATGATGAAACTTGAAGTTTAGATAATGACCCGACCAAGTCGGTTTCTTGTACCAGTCGGTTATGATGGAGTTTCCTTGGCGAATCAGCCTCAAATCTAAAAAAGGAATGCTACCATTTGACTCTTCTTTGAAAGTAAATTGTAAGCGTTCATGATGGCTGTTAAAACATCTGACTACATCTTAAATTAAGTTTGCGGGAACCGCGGTGATGATATCATCCACATACCTTTTATAGAACGGAACTTCAAAGCCAAGATTAGCCAGACAAGTAGCTTCTAAGTCTTGTATAACCATATCAGCTAAGACTGAAGCGAGTGGAGACGCCATAGGAAGACCAAACTCTTGTTTATAAAACTTGCCGTTGGCTTTGAAAGTTGTGGAAGACATGGGGAACTTCACAGCGTGTGTCAACTCTTGGAATTCGATTTCTGTATCGAATTTGTGCTTTCTCTTCTCCATGGATTTGATGACGAGGGGAACGTTTGTGTATGGAGAACTCACATCCAAAGATACTAATGGGTAATCAGGTAGAATTGTTACTTTGGTGATGTCATCATGAAAATCGGAGCTGTTCTTAACTTCAGAGAAAGAGCCTCGGCAGCCACTAGAGATGATCTTTTGTATATACGATGACAGTGCATAGGTGGGACTACCAATAGACGAAACGATGGGTCTGAACGGAACATCCTTTTTATGAATTTTAGGCAAAGCGTATAACCTCGGGCAAACACCATTCGTGCATCGTAAGAATTTCCCTAGCGAATCAGATATATAACCACCTTTGACCCAGGATTTCACCAAATCATTAGTTTTCCTCTCAGTTGCTAATGTTTCGTCACGTTTAAGTTCGGAATACATGTTTTTGTCTTC